AGAGTAGAAAGGAAGAAAGAAGTAATAAATGTTAATGCTCTGACAGCTGTTACTAGGCAAATTGGATAACATGAAAAGATATGGGAAAACAAGAATAATGAGGTCTAATATAACACTCTACTTATTTATGGCATGGAGATAAGAATAGTTCATGAGAAAAATGATGGAAAAATATCAGTGCTGTATTAGAAAAATATAGTCAATTTTTTTATAGAATAGAGAGATGCTATGAAATGAATCCATATACATTTTTATAGAAGACTCATCTCCCAAATAGTTTCTCTTTACTTAGAATTAAAATGATTTTATAATTTCTAAGTATGTACCAGCTTAACAATAGAGGAAGAGGGCCTGGAAGTATCTACCCATTGACTCATTTATCCAGTAAGAACTTACTGACTACCTACTGGCACCAAGCGTGATCAGGTGCTGTGTGGAATACCAGCACGAATCAGACATGGGTTCTGCCTACAAAGAACGTACAGCTTTGTAAGGGGGAGAAGGCACAAAATAAAGCCAGAGCACAGCAAAGTAGAAAGCAGTCAGTACCAAAACAGAGGTACCAATAAAAGCCATGTTAGTTTACAGAGAAGGAGAGATTATTTAGAGTGGGAAGATACTGGAAGGTATGGTGTAGCTCAGCCTTGAACAAGTAGGATTTTGATGCTTGGAGACTGGCAGACAAAGACCCTGGGAGAAGCCGTCCCATGAGTTAGCTGCAGTGCAAAGGATTTGTACCTGGAAAAAAAGCAGGGTATGTGATGAGAGTTTAGAAATGTAATTTGGGAATAAATCTGAGAGGGTCTCAAAGCTAACTGAAGAGTGAAATGATATAAAAGCACAAGGCAAAAATTACTCATAATCCCACCTTCCACCTAAAGAATAACAATCTGATGTGTTTTTTCTTTGTACATATGTGAACATATGTGTAGGTATATACATATCTATATATGCAGAGAATATATGCACATTTACAAAGATTGCATTAGTCTGCACATACTATTTTCTCAATTAGCAAACATTGCAATATTTCCCACGTCAATGCTTCACCTACAACATAATTTCTAAGAGTTGCTTAGTGTTTCACAAATTACTTAACCAACTCCCTACTGTGAGATATTTAAGTTGCTTTCTATCTATACATCTGTAAATAAACTCCCAAAAGTAGAACTCCTCGGTCCTAGGATGTGTGTTTCTTTTCTTTTCTTTTTCAAAATAAAGACCACTTTTTCTGCTTATACAAATAATTCATAATTTAAAAAAATATATGCTCCATATTAATAATTCTGATAATGCAGACAGATGTGAAATCTCATCAGCCAGCAATATTCAGTTAATGTTATATATGTATGTGTGTATATATATTTAACATCAACAGTACACACACATACACATTCA